TATAAAGAAAGGCGAAATTATTAATTAAATATTTCTGCCTTTATTTATTATGTAAAAGTGATCGAAATTGGGCAATTATTTTCATATTTATTCATTATTATTTAATAATCCAATTTGATTATTTTAACATATAATGTATATTTGTTTATTATTTAATAATAATTACATTTCATTATTTTAGTTTATACATTTTTATTTATTTATGCTTATTTTAAAAATAATCAAATTTGTTTTTTTTAATTTATTCTTATTTAAAAGTAATCAAATTAGATTATTTTTAAGTTATTTTTATTTATTTATAATGATTTTACAATAATCAAATTTGAGTACTTTTATGTATCATTTTTATTATTATTTATTTAATATTATAAAAATATAATCAAATTTAATTGTAGTCCGAGTCCGACCTAGGGGGAGGCCCACGACTGCTTCAAATCTCCGTCGCCGGCCCCAGTCGGCCGAGAGAGGCGTCACGTGACGAGTGGCTGTGGGGTCACACCAAGCCGCGCGAACATCGCCAGAGGACACATCGATCCGAGAATCGATGTCACGCGTTGGAATCGCCCCGCCGCCGCCGCCCGCTGCTGCCGCTGACGCTCGGCGATCCGCGCAGTCGTCGATTTTAGCGACAGGATCGCGAATCGATTCCCTCCAGCGCTCCACGCCATCACGACGATGTTGACCACCGCCGCCTCCGCCGCCCGGCACGCGGCCAAGCGCCTGGGAGTCAATGGCGAAGGCAACGACCGCGTCCAGGCGGGCGCGATGGTGAGCGTCAGTGACGAGCGACTTGACGAGGTGTTTTTATAACGAGAAGATGTTTATTTTACTCCTCGCCCAGAGCCTCGTTGTGAGGCCTGGGCCAGAGGCTTCACTCAGGCGACGTGCCACCACCACCACCAGCCGTGTTTATATTATTTAACGTGATTGTTTAGCTTTGTAACTCGCAGATTCCAGTGCCGTTGCGAAGAGCTTCTCGTTGTTGGTGTTGGGGATGGACCACGCGGACCACAGCATCGCTAGGCTCTGCTTACGTTCAGTAAAACGCGTTTTGGTAAACGTGGATTTCGTGTTCGTTAACACTTTGGGCTATTTCCAGTGTAATTTTTTTATACGGCGTTTTCTCTTCTAAGGGTGTGTATTCTCTTTGCACTGAACTAAAATAATAAAAAAATATGAAACAATAAAAACATTACTCATTGTTTTTTTCGGTAAAGTCACGTATGTAGAAATACAATAAAATTATATTAAAACAGAAAACAATCACGACGTTTCGATCACAACGCAAGCGATCTTCATCAGGTGTCAAGAACAAATCACGGAGGTAAATACAGCAAAAGATGAGAGACGAGAATTCAACAAACCTGAAACAACATTACGTGAAGCACATCCAGTCAGGCCAACGACACAGTTAGACACTTCCTGGCGGACCACGAATAAAAACATTGCCTACCAGGAGAGATTCGTTCATGAGGCTATCCACATATACAAGCACAGAGACAATTTCAACCGAGAAGATGGATTCTGGCTTAGCAATCATTGGAAGGATTTGATAAACCATTTCGGGTCTTAATTGTTCACGCTTACGGTGGCTTTCAGACCGCATCCATTATTTTCGTCTCCCCCCTCCTCTTTTCAGAACATAGATGGACTCGTCCATCTGAACAAACTCTCAAATCGCTCTCCGTGGTGCTGACGTTAAAAAAACGCCACTTTTATTCAAATTTTCTTGCTGTGGTTTTCACACCTGACGATGATTGCTTCTTGTGTTGCAGTCAAAACGTCGTGAGAATTGTATTGTTTTATATTTTTATTATTTTATTGTTTCCCTTCTACGTGGTGACTTTACCGGAAGAACCAAGAATATTAATCCCTGCAGTCACGAAAGCTTTAAATCAAAAGTTAAAATACTAATTAAGTTAAAATACCGATGTGTTAAATGTCCCACGCGATGGCGTCGTGGGGTAGCTCTTCGACCCTCCCCAATGTGATTAAAAACTTTGCGGAATAATAAAACTTTACAGCGTCTACAAAAGCGCACCTGGCGGTGGGGGATGCGAGTTCCAGAGTTTGAAACTCGAGGGCCGTTTAGATTTAAACTTAAACTCGCGAACGTTCTTAGCAATTACTGAAATGATGGCACTGAGCTATGGACATTTTTTGCCAAACGGATGCAGATTTAAAAACCCCTTTAATGCAAGTGTCTGCATCTGCTCCGATATCACTTGCCGGCGATGTTAGCCGTGGCTTTATTTTGGTGATTTTGAAAAAGTTTTATGGTTTGGCCATGTTTGTTTTGTTGTAGTATGGAGTTAGACTGATGGCCTTAATCTAAGTTGTCTTGTGGTTGTTGTTGTTAGACTTGGATCCCACTGGGATTTTTGCACACAGCGTTGGTGTACGGTGCTATTTCAAGGATTATTTTGCTGTTTTTTCCTGGATTTTCTGTTTGCACAGTCAAATAATCACTGTAAGATGTTTTTCTTGTTCATGTTTTTGTTTGTTGCGGTTGCACCCGATTCAAGAGCCGAATGGCTCACAGGGCTATACCAAATAAATGAAACTGAAAACTGTCTTCTCGGTATAGGAGGAAACAACAGCTTTGCACAATAGTCGTGTTGAGTTTGCTTCCTTGCCGACGTGCACAGGACACGTTTGAGGACCCACACAAGCCCCCACCGTCGGCTGTGGTTCACGTGCGGGGACTCTTGGACACAGCCCTCGAGTCGGACCTCGTGGAGGCCGTGCGGCACTTTGGCCTAGTCAGGTGACCAGTCGGTGGTGACCGTTGCCCGCATGGGGAAGGAAGCTGTATTATTATTATTGTTGTTTACCGAAAACACCAAAGATTAATTCCTGCAGTCACGAAAGCTTTGAACCAAGTTTAAACCGCCTCTACGGGGAGGTATAAGGTCTGTATCTTTGTGTCTGTCTTTGTGTTGTCTTGTGTTGTCTGTGTGTTGTCTCTGCTTGTGTATCTGCCTTTGTGTCTGTGCTTGGATTTGTTTCTCTGTGCTGTCTCTGCCTGTGTGTCGGTCTTGGTGCTTCCGAATGTTTGCTGCCGTGCTCCACTTTGCTCTATGCATACCTCATGCTAAAATGTCCCATTGTCTCTCAGCCTTGCCTTCTCATGCTAATATGTCCCATTGTCTCTCAGCCTTGCCTTCTCTGCCTATTTAAGGCGACTTCACTGTGTGCTTGTACCTGTGCTGGTCCGCTCTACTTGAATGTCTATGTGTGTGTGTGCCATCTGTATCTTAAATTTCATACTTAACTTGCAATTTAGCAATCTTTGAAATAACGTAATCAACCAGGCTTTGCGTTAATTGTGTTTTGACCGACCGTCTGTGTTGCTTTATTTGGTTTCCAAATTCTGCTAAACTCTTGTTTGTTTGGTATGCTTCTCTCTCTGTGTCCCCTATTGTGTCGGTGTTAGTTCCCCCCTACTTGGGTGTCTGTATATACATCTGAGGTTATGTGTCTCCCCTCTCTCGTAAATTTAGCTCTTCTGTACCTGATGATGGCTGCTTGTGTTGCAACCGAAACGTCGTACGCTATTATGTTATTTTATTATTTCTTATTTATACGTGACTTTACCGAAAAAAACAAAGATTATTGTTATTATAGTTGTTATTATTATTGGTGTTATTATTGTTATTATTATTGTTGTTATTATTGTTGTTATTGTTATTATTGTTGTGGTGGTGGTGTTTGCGGACGTGGAGTGAACTTGGACCTTGGAAATTCGAATATTACCGATTTTCGCTTCGACAACTCAAGAAATTGCATAACACGAAAATACTCGATGGTTCTTAAGCACGGGGTGGGAGATGCCCTTTCTGGGGGCGCAAGACATGCCAGATTATTTTTAACAAGGTAAATCATCGAAACACATTGAGCACGGGCACGTAAGCACCGCTACTTTGTTCCATCAAACCTCTAAATTAATAAACATTGTACGTTTTAAAAAAAATATTGAGAACCAAAGGGGGGGTGGCAAGGCTGCAGGTTAAAGCTCAAGAACCACTTCCGTAAATAAAAAGCCGTGGCCGCGTGTGGCGGTGGACGAGAGGGCGCGGTGTTGCCCACGTCACGGCGTGATCGGCGACGCCGTGCGTGGCTTACTCGGGGCCTTTACAGCCTGAAGTGACCAAACAAAAACTGCTTCATCTTCTTTGGGGTTCTTTCGGTAAAGTCACCACCGCGTAGAATGAGAATAAAATAATAAATTAATAAAACTTAAAATAACACGATAAAATTCTCACGACGTTTCGGGCTACAACACAAGCGGCCTTCATCAGGTGAAGGGACGAGACTGCCAAACTGAAATGGGACAGTCTCGTCCCTTCACCTGATGAAGGCCACTTGTGTTGTGGCCGAAACGTCGTGAGAATTGTGTTATTTTATTGTATTATTTTATTCTCATTCTACGTGTTGGTGACTTTACCGAAAGAACCAAAGAAGATTAATCCTTGCAGTCACGAAAGCTTTAAATCGAAACAAAAAACCGTTTGTTTTTCAATTTTTCCAAGTCACGAATTCCCTCCGAATTAAAGTGCCGCTGCTGCTTTTGTTGTGCCGTCTGACAAAAGCGGCACACGTTCAAATGTGATTAGTAACCGTGTTAAAAATTAATATCTTGTATTGAAATGGTGCACACATACCTTGTTTATGTACGTTTGAAGAGGCTTCCTTTATCAGGTGATACATCGACAGAAGAAGACTACATTACCCTCAAGATGTATTCTAAATCTAATTATATTGTTACAGTACATTCAATTCCAACGCACTACACTGCCAAACTGAAATGGGACGTGGCATCTAACCTGCATCCAACCAGTCTCCACTCCGTTGCATGCATTGAAACATTTCTTGAGATCAAATGAGGTGACTTGGAGCAGACCAACCTCGTGTTTAACATCAACAACAGGCACGCATTTTAAAGTCGGCCACATCTTTGAATAACGGCACTCGTTTGAATCGCTCCCTCCGTGCAGCTACGTGGTGATGATGCCCAAGACGCGGCAGGCGCTGGTGGAGTTTGAAGACCCGGAGAGCTCCCGCAGCTGCGTCGACTACTCGTCCACGGGCTCCGTCTACGTGTGCGGGCAGCCGGCCTATTTTAACTTCTCTACCAGCCAGAAGCTTTGGCGCCCTGGCGTCCCGGGGGATAACGGCAACAGCAACCACGTCCTGCTCTTCACCATCCTCAACCCCATCTACCCCATCACCACGGTGGGCATTGTTACGCTCACAGCAGCTGGACATTCACTCGTGAATAATTTGTCGGGTGTGCCATGCGCACACGCGCGCACACACACGTGTGTTTCATTTTTACGAGTGAAATTATGTCCGTTTTGGATTACAGTGAATGGCTTTGCTAAGGAAATTACATCGATCCTTTGGTTCATTTGAGGCAATTGAAGTCGTGTTTTTTGTTTGTGCTTTGAAGTCTACCAATGGCATTGAATAAAAAAAATATATATAGACCTAATGTTGATTTTGGAAAGCGTTGATGTCCTGTATGGCTCGATCTTAAAAATTCACTGGAAAAAAAGCTTTTCAAATTTACTTGGTAATGCGTGCAAAATCACCTCGCTGCGTTTGTGTGCTCCATGTGGTCCTGCAGGATGTGCTTTACAACATTTGCAAACCATTTGGGCCTCTGCAACGCATTGTGATCTTCAGGAAGAATGGCCTGCAGGCCTTTGTGGAATATCCTTTCAACGAGATGCATAACCGTAACGACATGTCCGCCATTCACGTAATTTTACGTGTTATTTTGGAGATGCTAAATGTATTGTTTTTAAAATGAAATGGTCGTGTTTTCCTTAATTTTTGGCCACGTTTGTTTCGGTTGAGAGCGCCGAGAGAGCGAACTCATCTCTGAATGGAGCAGACATCTATTCGGGCTGCTGTACTCTTATAGTGGACTATGCGAGGGCAAGTACAACCGATACTTTGTACATTCACAAGTGTGTGCACCACAACCTGGGTTTTTTCACCCGCAGACCAAAGATTAATTTAATATTCTGAATTGACCACTTTGGTGAGCAAATAATGCTGAATACACACGGCAATTCATTGCCAGATGAGGGCTTCCGCACTCGACGCCTGTTGTGGGGTTATTTGACTTGTGTGCGGGGTAAAGGAGTGTAGCATATTTTGTGGCAGCATAGAAATACAATGCACCCAGTGGGTTTTACAGCTGCCCACCACACAGCCGCACAACCTACAACAACCCATTGTGCATGACGGTCATCCTTGCCGTTGTCTAAAGTCAAACTTTTCCTAATTGATATTACCGTGAGGGTGGTTCTCATCTGAGCCAGTGCCCTGAGCCAGTTAGTGGAAAATTCGCATCCAGTGGGAAGGGTAGAGTTGGTTTTTAATTCAATTTTATTTGGTGACGGGTGATTAACATTCAGCCATAGGCTGCTTTGCGAGACCTGCAGAGTACTTGAGGGGAGATGTTACATTGTTAGCAGGAAATAAAATTACAGAACAGTAATAACGAATGCATCATTTTCATAACGGGGTTATGGCACTTCAACATTTTTGAGGTATACGATCAAGGCTAACGCTTCACAGTACACGAGGAACACCGCGAATAAATAATACCAAGTTAGGCAAAGCATGCCAAACTTATGTGCAATTAAACAAGTTTGGAATTTAAATAGGCCACCGAGGGTTAGCAATTTTTATCTGCAAACACGAAGGGAGCTTGTTCCAACGAAGAGGGATAATCAACACGTGATCTTAAAAAAAAAACGGTGGCAGAATGGCCACTGTTTCCCACAACTCCGATAAGCACGCTTTTATTTCGATTTAAAGCTTTCGTGACTGCAAAACCAAAGAAGAAGCACGCTTTTGCTACGTACGGCGCGAAAGTTTAGCTTACCGTTGACTTCCTACATGTGGCAGCTTTTATTCATTCATCTCCCAGGAGGTGAAGGGTTGCGTTAAGTACCTCGGTTTCACCGCAAGTTGCATGCCGTAATTGTCTCGGGGGTAATGACTTGCTTAATAATTATTATGCTTGTACATTTTAAATGGTTCTAAAGTTTCGATTTAAAGCTTTCGTGACTGCAAGGATTCATCTTCTTTGGTTCTTTCAGGTAAAGTCACCACCACGTAGAATGAGAATAAAATAATAAAATAACACAATAAAATTCTCACGACGTTTCGGCCACAACACAAGGTCGGGACGACAGGTTTCTTCCTGATTTAAAACTTTCGTGACTGCAGTAATTCATATTCTTAGTTTTTTCGGTAAAGTCACGTTGAAGAGAAACAACAAAATAACAAAATATATATAAAACAATAAAAAATTCTCACGACGTTTCGACCATAACTCAAACGGTCATCATCAGGTGTGTCGGTTTGCATGATCAGGTGTGTCGGTTTGCATGCAAACCGACACACCTGATGATGACCGTTTGAGTTATGGTCGAAACGTCGTGAGAATTTTTTATTGTTTTATATATATTTTGTTATTTTGTTGTTTCTCTTCAACGTGACTTTACCGAAAAAACTAAGAATATAGGTTTCTTCCTTTCACCTGAAGAAGGCCACTTGTGTTGTGGCGAAACGTCGTGAGACTTTTATTGTTTTAGTTTATTATTTTATCCTCATTCTACGTGATGACTTTACCGAAAGAACCAAAGAAGGTTCTAAAGTTATATAATTTTTTTCCGAGCATCTATGCCCTATATGCTGGCCACGAATAATGTTTATCTTTTCCCCCTGCTGTGTCCTCTTTACAGGCGACGCGTCTGAATGTGTTTAAAAATGACTCTGAGACCTGGGACTTCACCAACCCTGGCCTCAAGCAAGGTAAGACCAATATTGAGCATATCAGAGCCGCGCTCTCTCGACAGCTGGTGGTGGTGAGCCCTCGGTGTGTGGGGGGGGGGGGGGTGACGTTTTTAACGCAAGGGGTGGGGGGTGTGCACGGCGTGATGAAACAGGCATTGACTATTTCTGTACGCAGCCGGCTTTGCCGTGTTATACTTGAAGATCCGTGGCCAAGTAGAGGGGGAAGTTTGGAGCGTTCTCAAGAGGATAATGCAGCTTCTGCACTTGAGATTTTGGTTGCAGAAAAATGTCACACCTGCAGACACTTGGTTGTCTTGAAGCACATTGGTGTACTGTTTACAATCTACAGAACTTGTCTTCTTTGGTTCTTTCGGTAAAGTCACGTAGAATGAGAATAAAATAATAAATTGATAAAATAAAATAACACAATAATATTCTCACGACGTTTCGGCCACAACACAAGCGGCCTTCATCAGGTGAAGGGGGCGAGACTGTCTGGTAGGACAGCGCTGGAGTGAGAGAGCCACGTTCAGATCACGGCTTTTAAGCTGTGTGAGAGGAACAAAGAGACTTGACAAAGGAATTAGCATAAAATTTAGCATTGAAATGGCTGAATGATTAGCTTGTGACTGGTCACAGAAATAGCTATGTTAAAAGTTAAAGCATACACATCCGCAGAGGCACCCATTGTTAAAAGGAATTAGCATAGAATTTAGCATTGAAATAGCTAAGTTAAGGCATACACATCCGCAGAGGCACCCCTTGACAATGGGATTAGCATAGAATTTAGCATTGAAATGGCTGAGTGATTCGCTTGTAACTGCTACAGAAATAGTTACGTTGAAGTCAGAGCATACACATTCACCGAGGCACTTAGTACAAATCAAACAGGAGAATTTAGCATTGAAATAACTAGGCGAATTTAGCATTGAAATAACTGGGTGATTTGCTAGTGACTGGTCACAGAAATGACTACACATCTGAGCTATTCACAGTACTATATAGTGAACCAATAAAAACTAAAATATAAATTACCTTCATGTTATCAATAAACTCTATATTCTCCAATCAGCTAAGCTACCAACCATAAGTCGTTATATATCACAATGCTATATGGCGAAAAAATGGGTGGATTCTTACCCTCAAATTTCCGTACCACGGATAGCTACGGGCCCCGTTCAGACGGACGAGTTCGTCCATGGTCGGAACAGAGGAGGGGGAGAGAGACAGCTGCGAAGCCCTAGTATACTCCATGTTGTAAACCATACCATTAACCGTGGTGTGAGAGGTATTAAGAGGCAATGCTGGCGAAAGAGCTGCGGTCTGAAGGTCATCGTAAAATTACAATTAATTAAGAACAGAAATGATTTAACACATCTTTCCAGTGGTTACTAAGCCTGAATCCATCTTCTCGGTTGAAATTGTCTCTGTGCTTGTATATGTGAATGGCCTCATGAACGAATCTCTCATGGTAGCCAGTTGGTTTGCAAAGAACCTCCGTCTTGGAGAAGTCAATGTCATGTGAGCCCACTGAATTGTAACAGTGATCTGCCACGGCAGAGGAGTTCGTCTTACCGTGTTTCAAGTCTGCTTTATGTTCGCGGATGCGGTCCGAGATATGTCTTTTGGTTTCTCCAATGTAGCTACTACCACAGAGGCACTTTAGTTTGTAAACGCCCGGGTACTGTATGTCTGGAAGAGCATCTTTTACAGATGGAACTAAATCATGGATTTTGTGTACTGTGTTGAATCGGACCTGGATCTTGTGTTTATTCAGGATTTTGGAGATCTTTTTAGTGACCCCTGCAATGTAGGGTAAGGTGATGGTTTTGAGTGGCTCCACAAGAGGATCCTTCTTCATGACTGGAGTGATGGCTTTGCGGATTGTGTAGTCGGAGTAGCCATTAGCCCTGAGAGCCTGGTGTACGTGCTTGAGTTCACTGGTAATGTGTTCCTGGTCGGAAATGCATTGGGCTCTATGGTATAGAGCAGGGGTCGGGAACCTTTTTGACTAAGAGAGCCATGAAAGCAAAAAATTTGGAAATTTATTTCAGTGAGAGCCATATAATATATTTTAAAAGTGAATTCAACTAAATGTCAGTATAATAAGCCTCTGAATTTATTCTTTTAAATAATGTTGTTATAACACTCACCATTAATGCGACTTTTGGTGCTGCATGGATTTGCTGATGTCTTTGTAGTCGGGTTGGTACCTTGTAGTCGGGTTGGTACTTGGTGAGGTTAAGCTTCATGCAAGCGTTGAGGCTTTCATCCGTTAAACGTGATCGTAGGTTGGACTTGATGTTTTTAAGATGTGAGAATGACTTCTCACATGCATACGTAGATCCAAACATGGTCAATACAGCAATACTCACACGCTGCAGTGTGTGGTATGTGACAGGAAGCGCGTTCCAAGTTTTGAGAATCAGCTGGTCTTCGGGTTGGAGTTTTTTCATTTCTGTCCACATGTGCTTGCTCGCCAACTCCGCTTTCTGTCGTGTGATTCTTTCCAAATCTTCATTCAGTGACTTGAACTTATTCACCCACATGTCTGAGGCCTTCAGGTCAGCCACTTCTGCTTCAAAATCTCTGACGGAGACACCAGGGATGTAATTCAGGTCGGCTGTGTTCAGTGAACACTCGTTTGGATGGGTGATGAACTTAAAAAGACGAGTGTGCTCACGAAATTCTCCAAAGCGTGCTTTGAAGGACTGTAGGAGACTGGATGTGCAGCCAGCTAGCTGGTGGAGATCAAGGTTTTGAATGGGCTCACTTGCTGTGCATGCATCTTTAAATTGGCTCAGTTTTTCAAAATGTAGTAAACGACCTGTTTCAAGATCCGTGATGAAAAGCTCCAGCTTGTTTTCAAAAGCAAATACAGCTTGTTGAAGGGATAACACTGTATTTCCAATGCCTTGCATTTTCACGTTGAGCTGGTTCAGATGTTCAGTCAGATCTACGAGATAGTAAAACTTGAGGAGCCACTCGGTGTCGGCTAGCTCAGGATGCCCGACGCCTTTCATTTCAAGGAAAGTCCGGATTTCGTTCAGGCAAGCCGCAAAACGGCTAAGCACCTTCCCTCTTGACAACCAACGCACATTGCTGTGCAAAAGCAGACCAGGATAGTTATTTACAACTTCATCCAGCAGTGTTTTAAACTGGCGATCATTTAAGGCTCGGGCAACAATAAAGTTGATCACACGAATGACCAGCGACATCACTTCGCCAAACTGCCTGTCACACATCTGAGCACAAAGTGCCTCCTGGTGTATAATGCAATGGAAACTTAGGATGGGTCTATTTTCATGTTCACGGAGAAGCGCCACAAATCCTTTGTTTTTCCCCACCATACACGGAGCACCATCAGTACACACTGAGAGAAGTTTATCCATAGGTAGACTTTTTTCTTGAGCAAACTCCATGAAAGACTTGAATAAATCCTCACCTCTTGTAGACCCTTTTAATGGCAGAACAGCAAGACTTTCTTCGCGCAGTGTGTCACCAACAGCATATCTTGCAATCACGCTGAACTGCGACAAATGGCTCACGTCTGTTGACTCATCCAAAGCCAGAGAAAAGAACGGCGCTGCATTTATGTCCTTCACTTGCGTTTCCTCCACTTTGTTTGCCATCACGATGGTACGATCATGAACAGTTCTTGCCGACAGAGGCATGTCTTGTATCCGTTTGATTATCTTGTCTTTGTTCGGAAGATCATCAAAAAGTTCATTGGCTACATCCAGCATGAACGTTTTAGCATACTCGCCATCTGTGAATGGTTTTCCATTCCTCACTATTGCTAAAGAACCAGCAAAGCTAGCCGAATTATAGTCACCTTGCCGGGTCCATACGCGGAGTTGCTGCTGGCTAGCTTGCACCCTGCTCAGAAGCTCTTGGCACGCTTTCTTTCTGCTGTCTCCCGCAGGGTATTTTGATGCAAAGGTAGCGTGGCGCGTGCCGAAGTTCCGCTTTACATTCGACCGTTTCAACGATGTAATTTTGTCATTGCAAATTAGACACACCGCAGAACCCGCTCTCTCCACAAAGGCGAATTCTTCGGTCCATTCGTCCTGAAATGTACGATACTCGTCGTCTTTTTTTCTTTTCGCCATCTTCTTCGTCGAAGGGTTAGCTTTGAGCTAATGACCGAGCAGACGCAGTCTCAGACTGATTCAAAAGGGGGCGTTTACCTGTTTTACCCAGCAACGGCAAACGTAGGCCAGTATCATCCAATTAAAATAATGGACAATTGCTCCTGCAGCCCTGAACAGGACATGCGCAGTGAAAAATCGATGGATGGATTAAAACAAGTGAGAATATTTTGTTTTATCTGCGAGCCATATGCAATCATCAAAAGAGCCACATCTGGCTCGCAAGCCATAGGTTCCCGACCCCTGGTATAGAGTCTTGATGAGGCAGTTCTTCTGGGATGGATGGTGGTGGGAATCCGGTTTCAAGTAAGCATCTGTATGGGTAGCTTTCCTGTAGACAGAGTGGCTCATTGAACCATCATGTCTCCTTTTAATTAAGACATCCAGAAAGGGTAGTTTGCCATCTTTTTCGACCTCCATGGTAAATCTGATGGCTGGGTGTATGGAATTGATGTGGTCGCGGAATTGGTCTAGAGCAGGCTGGCCATGTGGCCAGATGACAAAGGTGTCATCAACGTACCTCTTCCATAAGGTCGGGCGTAGAGTGGCAGTCTGGATGGCGTCAGTTTCAAATTTTTCCATGAATACGTTGGCTACAACCGGAGATAGGGGGGAGCCCATTGGGGTGCCCTCAGTTTGTTTGTAGAAAGTTCCATTCCAGGTGAAGTATGTGTTGGTTAAGCAATGTCTCACCAGGGGGGGTACATCAGTATGCAGTCCTTGATGAACCAGGTCTTCAATGATAGCGATGGTGTCAGGTACTGGGACTTTGGTGAACAAGGACACCACATCAAAACTGACAAGCAGGTCGTTTGGGGACAGGGAAATGTCTTTGATTGTCGATACCAGGTGAGTCGAATTTAGTAC